GTCGTTCGTATAGTATTCAAGTCTGGACAGCAAAAAGTTTATATTTTATACGGGTATATATGGTATTGCATGTTGCACACAGAATTAACCAACCTATGCATTTTATTATATTTAATAATTAACACTAATTAAATAGCTATTTGATTTCAAAAATAGATATGTTTTCTGTCACAAAAGGATTAAGTCATTATATTAACGAACATAAACTTCGATAACATTATTGATTATATTATCATGAATTGAGATAAAAACATTTTTGATTTCTTTCTTGTCTTAGTGCTTTGTTCATTGGAATCGTTAAAAAAATTAAAAATTCGAATTGTAAACAGACCTCCGGTTTGGCGCCCCTTTAGAGGTGCGCCCGCGTGCGGTGCACGCGTTGCACGCGCAGTTGCGGGGGCCTATGATAACATTTTCAAAATCCTGGAAATTTATCGAAAAAACAAAGCTAATTAATATATTATTTTTTTTTGTTTCATTTATTCTTTTCTTTTTATATTTTACTATTTATAAGCACATACTTTATAAGTTCTTATTAATTAAATTTTTGTTCATACGTACTAAGTACTGTTCATGTTTATTGTATTGTCACGTTATGCGTGGTTTTTAATAAAAAATGTCACGTTTTACGTTCTCTCAAATAATTTTGGGACTATCTATGTCCCGGGGGTCAAATAACAAAATATATAAATTCAGTCCTCAATGAGGACTCTATTGCCTTAAACTAGGCTTCGTGGCCATTAACTATATGGGGGTTTATTCGGCAATTAAAACGTCTGAAGATTAAAGGAAACACAACGTTTTCTTAACACAAATATATTATATATTTAACATAAAAATACAAAAGAGGCTACAGCTCGACATACACAAATATATGCTCAATGTAATAATAAGTACACAAAACGTAAACTTACCAACTCCACTAATCTTTGGGCACATGTCACAACCCTTAGCTAACTATTGAAATATGCAATTATTCAAAATACAAAATAAAGACTTTTAAATTAGACTATGAAGATCATGAGCTGGAGCTGTTACTGGGAATCTCCTACAAGGGAGACCTCCTATGGGGAGGATCCGTTCTTAGTGGAAAAAGCCCTGCGCATTCCCTCGACATTACTTTTATAACTTTCTCATAGTTTATTGTTATTAAAACTAATGTTTAATAATTATTAAATTATCAACCTTGCACATTATAGCAATTTAAAACAAATTGTTGACATAATTAAACAAAGTTTTATGTACAGGATGTTATTTAAATAATTAATTAAAATTAGGAAAACTATGAATTTATACGAATCGTGACAAAATTATGTATTATTTTCTGTTATGGTGTATACCTGTTGAAAATAAATGTATTATTATTACTTGTAGACTTTGTTTACCAAATCATATACTCATTAATCTCAACGTATAGACGTTTTAAACTAGTAATTATTAAGCTTTGTAACAGAACCGGTTAAACAAAAATGACAAATTTACATATGTCAAAAACAACAATACCCTGGTCAACTTGACACGCAGTGAAATTAATTTAAAATGTCAGGTTGCATTAACAATTTTTTTTCAAATTATCGTGTGAAATGGTGTGAAATATTTTAGGAAAATTATCGTGTCCTCAAGAAAATTTTCGGAAATAATTTAAGCTCTTGTGATATTATCTCTTGTGAAAACGTTAATTAGAGACTGTTTTTTTGTATTAAATATTCTCTAGTCTTACACCATAAGGAGAATAATACTCGGTGCCCAAATAATACTTATTGCAACTTACAATGTAGTCTGCTTAATGTAAAAATTTTTCACAAAATTGGTTTTTAGCCCCATCTGTTAAAAAAGCAGCGTATCTATACATTCAAATAAAAAACTATGCAAAAAGTCCAACTCGTTCTACATCAGTAAGAAAGTTGCATAAGTCCTAGCAAGTGTACGTTGGTGTTCTATGTTTGGTGTCATGCTTTTTAGTTTGTTAGGCTTTAAAATGGCCGTTATTTTATCAGACCAAGCTTCAATATCTTTTAGGTAAGTACATACTATGTAAATTTAAGCTTTTTATATGTGTTATCATACATTAGACTAAATTAATGCAATTTTTGTAAACTTAAGGAGTTGTGCTTTTTTTACACTGTTGATATATTTAAAACTCACGGGAGTTATGCATGTTTCAAAGCATTTTGAATACCAATTACTGCAAAGAATGATGAGAAATTCACATTTTTTTGCCTTACCTACAAGTTTTAAACAGTTCGCGTAGATGGAAATTCTTGTCAAATCTTGAGGTATTAGTAAACCCTCCTTTTGATATAAAAAAGAAACACATTTGGCTATAAATATTGGTACTAGGTAAAAAAGCCGCTATTAAAAAGGTTCCAGTGAAAAAGTCCCCGTTAAAAGCCCACAGTGAAAAAATTCATTCCAAAAAAAGCCCCCTGATATTAATAAAAACATATTTTTTTGTAAGTCAAACATCCGAACAATACCGGGGTCGTTTTTACCGGAGACTCTACACTTTGCGGCTAAAGGTAGGAATAAACAAGTATTTTGTTTCAGCTATGGATCGTAGAAGCAGGGGTTTCAAACTGTTAAGTTTAACAAAACATCCAGCCAACGCTTTGAAAGACATAACTAACGATAGCTCTGGAACATTAACTAGTGATTCTGTAGAATTAAACAAGACAATAAAACTGTTCAAAGAAAAAGATCAAGACAATCATACTGATACAAAGAGCGCGGAAAATGAAGAGTGTTTTGCAGAAGAAAACGAGGAACTGCAGTCAGCTCTAACAGAATTACAAAAAGAAATTCGTATGACACAAAACATTTTAGACATAGGGGAAAACAATGATTTATCATCCAGCTTTCTCAACAATGCAATATTATCCGGCATATAACAAACGGATATTATAATAATAATAATAATAATAATAATAATAATAATAATAATAATAATAATAATATCGTCTTTATTATTTCCAATATAAATTTACAATTTTTTCATAATTTTAACAATTATACAAGAATTATTATTGAAAATAAAGGGCGAAGTTCAGATTTGAGAAGGAGGATCCACCACAAAATCTGCTCTTCCACTTAACCCAAATATAAATAATAAGCATAAGCTAGTACAAAACTAGAATGGTAGGATACATTAAATGAATTTTAATTAATTATTTAATTTTAGTATTTGAGGTGTAATTAATTTTGTTTATTTAACAAAAATAGTTTTAAGCAAGGTTTGAACCTGGTTATATTTAATTTTATTAGGTTATTAGGTAACTGATTGTGAAGATGGCAGATCTGATATCCGAATGATCGACGAAAGAATTCTGTATTGAACGAGGGTATTGACAGTGATCCCTTATCTCTAATATTTATGTTATGTACGTTGGTGCGGTAGGTTATTTTTCTATGAAGATATGGAGGTTTTTTAGTTACAATGATTCTATGAAAAAGACTAAGTGTGTGAAGTAATCTCCTATTCTCCATATTTAACCACTCTATTTCTCTTAATTTATAAGAAATTCTCTGTTGTCGGCGAATACAGTATATTAACCTCAAACATGAGTTTTGTACTTTTTGAATTTTCTTCTTATACTGAATAGTTAGATGTGGACCATAGACAGAACTTGCGTAATTAAATATTGAAAGAACCAAAGATTCACATAACTTCACTTTCACGTGAAATGGGAGAAAATATCTGTTACCATAAATTATTTTTAGTTTAGAATAAGCACATCTTATAAGTTAGTTTACATGTTTTTCAAACCGCAAGTTTGTATCCCACCATACTCCAAGATTTTTTACTTCGTTAACTACAGTTAAAGACACATTATTTATTTTAATATTAAGTCCGCCCGAAACATTTAATTTAATATTTTCTGGTCCAAAAAGAATGACGTTTGATTTACTTGAATTTATGATTAAACAATGATCCGTAGCAGTTTTGATAAAAGCATCTAAGTTGGCATTTATAGTTTCACATGCTATTTCCACTCTATCAAAAGGAAAACTGTAGTAGAGTTGGGTATCATCTGCGTATAAGTGAAATTTGCAGTGTTGTAAAGATTTTACTAGATGAGTAGAGTAAATGGAAAATAGCAGTGGTCCAAGAATGGAGCCTTGTGGAACACCCGATTTAATTGAAATATCTGACAAATTATTATCAATAACTACACATTGTTGTCTGTTTTGCAAGTAATTACTCAATAGCGATATCGCTCCTTCTGAGAAGCCTATGTATTTTAACATACTTAATATTAATTTGTGATTAATCGTATCGAATGCTCGACTGAAATCAAGAAGAATTAACAAGGTGTATAATTTTTTATCAGTTGCTTTAACAATGTCATCAACTATTTGTAAAAGAGCAGTTGTGCAACTAAAACCTTTCCTGAAACCCGATTGAAGAGGTGATAAAATTGAGTAATTTGAAATATATTCTTTTAGTTGCATCTCCATCACCTTTTCAAGCACTTTTGATAAAACCGGCAAGATGCTTATAGGACGAAAGTCTCTAAATTCCTCTGGATTTTGTTTTTTTTGGCACAACTTGCACAATTGCCTTTCTCCACGCCGAAGGAAAAACATTTTCACTCAAACAAAAATTGACAATATGCGTGATATATGGAATAATGTGTGGACAACAAAGTTTGATAAGCTTTATGTTCAATCCATCGCAGCCTTTAGCGTTGGTTTTTATTCCACAGATAATATTATAAATTATTAAATCATTAACATCTTTAAAATTAAATGAGCCATCACACAAATTATTACTCATATAGTAATTCAATAACTGTAATGGTGGTTCTTTATTACAAACTATGATAGTTTTATTTTTTCCGATGAGATCGAGATGCTCAATGCCAATACAACAAACGATATTGCCGCGCAAACAGAAACTCTTCTGGATTTCAATAAAAACCAACGAGAAGGAAATATTATAAATGAATATAATGATGAAGAAGATGCAACAAATCATCCAGAAGAAGTAGATAATGAAAACAATGACCCTACATATCAAAGACAATGATGGGGAACAGTATTCTGATGAAGAAAATAATGATTCCAGTGAAGAAGTTACACAAAAAAGGAAAAAGAAAAGATTTTCTAATCCTGCAGAATGGAAATATAATACTAATAAAATAAATAGAGAAAAGGAGGTTGAGTATATGGGTAGAAAAAATAACAAATTCGACAGAAAGAAAACTAAGAAAGTAATGAAAAGGAGATACCTGTGTTTAAATAAACCATTGAAAACCGGTAAAGAAATAGCAATTCAGTGTTACAAGTTGACGGATGAAGAGCGAAAGTTAATTTCCGCGAAGTTTTGGTCCCTGTCGTGGCCTGAAAAGAAGATCTACATTTCTGCAAAAGTCTTAAAGAATAAAAGGTCAAGATATAGAAAGGATCCGGAAGTTAGCCATAGGTCAACTTCGTATAAGTATTTTCTTAAAAAGAAAAGCGAAGAAATTAGGGTTTCTTAGCTGATGTTTTGCAATACGTTAGGACTTTCTATGAGGACCATATCAGCGTGGATAAAAGATGAAATGTCTAGAATAGCCAAAAATAAAAAACAGAATAGTGACAAATATATTAAAAAAAAACTTTACGTTTTGATGAAGAAAGGATAAATTTGAAAAAATTCTTTGAAGAACTGCCTAAACTTAAATCACATTATTGTCGCAAATCGTCAACAAAATTATATGTAGAGCCAACGTTCAAAAACAAATCGGAACTTTATTTACTTTATAAAGATAATTGGTGTGTAGAACATAATGTAGCTCCCTTATCCATTGCCACATTCTCAAACATGTTTGAAGATCTGAAACTTGCATTGTTTTTGCCAAAGAAAGACGAATGCGATGTCTGCGTAGGCTACAAGATCAAAAACGTAGAGGAATCTGTCTACAGGGAACACATTATCAGGAAAGAAGAAGCACGGGAAGCAAAAGCAGAAGACAAAAATTTAAAAAATAGGGTATTTACGATGGACCTCCACTCAGTACTGTTGTGCCCGAAATCAAACGTATCAGCTCTGTACTATCGCACGAAGCTTATTGTACACAATTTTACAGTCTTTGATTTGCATTCTAAAGATGGCTATTCTTTTCTCTGGCACGAAGGTCAAGGGGAGCTCAATGCAAACTGTTTTTCATGAATAATTTGTAACTTCTTGATTAATAATGCAATTCCCCAGCTTGAGCCAATGCAATAAATAATATTATATAGTGACGGTTGTAGCGCTCAAAATCGTAATTGCACTTTAAGCAACGCCTTGTTGAATCTTGCTCTCGAGAAACATGTTTGTATCATCCAAAAATATTTAGAAAAGGGTCACACCCAAATGGAGTGTGACTCGATGCACTCTACCATAGAGAGGCAATTAAAAGGTAGAACCATTAATTTGCCAGCTGATTATGTCTCCCTATGTAAATTGGCTGGAAAAAATCTTAGACCGTATGAGGTGAGCTATTTGGATTATACTTTCTTCAAAGAATTTAGTAAACTTAATTTAATAAAATCAATTAGACTTTGATTTAAAGTTGGTGATCCAACTGTCAACAATCTTAGAGCTCTGAAGTATAATTCAGATGGTAAAATCGAGATTAAGATTAAACATTCCGAGGAGTTTCAAGATATGCCTATGAGATTAAAACCAAATTTAAATTATATATCAATTGACTCTCTTCCCTTATTGTACAAAGAACAATTGAAAATTAAAACAGAAAAGTTTGAACATCTCATGTTTTTGAAAAAATCTCTTGTCAAAGATTATCATGATTTTTATGACAATCTAAGACATGAATAACTTATTAAACATAAGACTTAACAATTTGATTATTTTTTAATATTATAAGTTATGTACTATTATCTTCCAAGTTCTTTAATGTTGTTTTATTAGTAGTTATTTTCGATTTAATAAAAATAATGCCTTAGGTAGGTAAATACTAGCGTTGTTTTATTATGTGAAATTTGAAAGTCCATCTTTGTACTGGATATAAGAATGAATTTTGCCTCCTTTATTTTCCAACAGGTAACTATTATAAAAAAAATCAATACTTGATAGCAGTTCCCGAATGTTTTTAATTCAAATTCCATTTTCACCCAAATTACATTATTTTTAAAGAAAACAAATAGTTTTTTTACTCTCCTGTAAAATTTAGGTTTTGGGACTTGTGCAATTTTCACATTTGGCCCGCGAAATGCAATTTTCAACTAACGAAGACCTACAGGTAACGTAAGTAGTCTCGACTCTCTGATGAATAGCCGTGGAATCAGTTTGTGGAGTGGAGAAAGACGTTGTCCGTTTAGTACCAAGATTCAAAGTATTCAAATATTAGGGTCCAGATCGATTTGAATACATCTACATAATTATGTTTTCTTGTCGCCAACATAAATCGATTATACAATAGGAACAAAATAAGAACCGTGCACCCTGCGATGTGAATTTACAGCGCACAGACTGTATTATAAACACACCCAGAGTTATAACCTCAGATATGAAAAAAATATAGTGAACACATCTATATGGCTTTAAAACGTGAAAAACTAACTTGTCGTATACTATAAAAATGTTTCTTGGACCGAAAAAAAAAATTATTAACTATATTTAATGTCTCTATGGCAGAATTCAAGCAAATAAAAAAAAAATATTTGTTAAGTCGGATAATCCCCTACCGCATAATTAAGTAAAACTCAATGTTTCAGTGTGAGAAGCGTTGGCACCAAGGCATTGACTTTATGTGCTACCTGCATGGAAAAAGAAGAAAATATCAATAAGTATAGTCACTTAATTTCGCTCGTACAATTACCATAACTTGTTTACTTGTATAACACAACAATTCCCTTCTCAAAATATTACTTAAAAAAACCTAAATATCTACCATAATTATCAAGCCATAGAATAGTATGAATGAAATAATATAAATAAAACTTGATTGAATTGGTATCATCCTTTGTCAATCGATAAATTTAACAGCTGTATCTCTGCAGCTCCTTCCAATGTAGACAAATTGTCCTTAACCATAGACGATTGGATGAATCGGCGTCGTCGAGATAGCTAGGTTTATGGAAAATAATCTCTATAGTTTTAAGATGGAACAGGTATTCCTATAAACCATCAACTTTTTTGACCACAAGCTATCGTCGTCTCCAACCCAACTTCCCAAAACAGAAATTTCTTCTGTTATCGAGCACAGAAACGTTCCTTCCGACGAAAATTGTGACTTGTCATCGCACCAATCCATTATCCACAAAACAGGTAACCCTCGCCCATCAAATGCAGTAACCCAACACGCTTTAATCATGTTAGGCGCTGACTCGAAAATTTTTCAATTGTCAAAAGTCAAATCAACTTAGAGCCTAGCAGTTTATCTACAAATATCATACTGTTCTACTAGCTACAATACTACAGTCCATTGTTCCAGCTGATGGGAAGACAACCCTTCTTTCTGCGACGGCAATTGAGAAGATATTCAAAGCCGCGGAGAACATCAATTAATAGTCAACCAGATGATTACAACAAAATGAACATAATCTATGTTTTAATAACAACAAAACCAAGTATACTGGGTTTCTTAAATAGAAAACAATACAAGTAGAACTGACAAAGGATATATCTTAAACTATTATTTTCAATAACGACTAATTAAACTGATGACGTTTTATAACATGACATTGCAAAGTAATCGTGTATTCCATGATATTAAATCTTTTTATCATGAAAGCATATTATTTAGTGGAAAACTCTCTATAATATTTGATTAAAAAATTATAAGCACACAATATATTTAATGACTTGGGTAAAAATAACCGAAAATCGAGTAAAATCATTGTTGCTATAAATCTACTAGCGATCCTAAGGGATTTTTACCTTATAGTTACACCATATTACCCGCCTTTTGTGTTTTCTTTGCTTTAGAAACAAATTATATATTACAAACTTTGTTTCAACGTCATGGACTATCACGGTCCATTTCTCTCCCCTGATCTAATCTCATTTAAGTCTGCATATTTTAAGCTCTACGGGATTTATCACTGTATGTCTCCCGTAATTTAATAATAAGAGAACAGAAATTGGCTCAAGACTGAACCTATTGATCCAGACATGTTTGAAATATTATCACACTGAAAGTGTACCTTCAATTATTTTAGGTATTGATATGGAAATTTCTAGAGAAGTGAAAATTTTGGAAGGTAAAAATAGATACAGAATTTTGCCACAAACAACTTTTCCCAACCAAAAAAAAAATATTACATTGTGTTACAAATGTCGCTAGGTTTCAGGTGCTAATTTTTATATATACAGGGTGTTATTGAAATACACGTACATATTAAAACTGGGTATTGCGCAGATCCCCACTGAATGTAGAAAAATATTATTTTTTAAAAATACCCCTTATTAAGGGAGTTATTAATTTTTGAAAATTAATTCTAAAACAAACGTACTTCACTGATATGTTGAGGATGACCAATATAAATTAGGTTTATTTACCTATTTTAAACATCAACAGTAATTAATATGCAAGTTTTTGTCAGATGATAAGAAAACTAGTCTTGTAAGAAATAACCATGTTGCCAAGATTTTCGAATTAATTTCTATTTCCGAAGACTGGTTTTTACTACCCTCGTTATCAAAAAACTAGAATATTTGATAAATGATTGTTTTTAAACTATACATTTTTGAACCTATAGATTATTAAAATTTTAGTTGATTTACGAATCTGGCTAACACGAGCGCGTCATTTCCAAGTTGGTAAAAAGTGTTGTTACGATTACTTTTAAATATTTTTTTACGATGCCACTATTTACGAATATTGAACTAACGGATATGGTGCTGGTTTATGGGGCAGCTGGAGAAAATTCTCGGCAAGCACAAATCCTGTATCGCGAACGGTTTCCAAATCGGAGAATTCCGGACTATCGTACGTTTATTTCAACTGTTCAGCATCTAAGAGAACATGGAAAATTTGAGAGTGTCAATGCAGATCGAGGGAGAACAAGAACACAAAGAACATTGGCGGCCGAAGAAGAAATATTGGAAGCTGTTGAAAACTGGCCTCAATTAAGTTGTAGAAGACTAGGTCTTGAAATTGGAGTGTCCTCATTTGTTGTGTGGTGAACACTTAAAGAACAAGGTTTACATCCTTATCACATCCAAAAAGTCCAGGCCTTATATCCAGGTGATGAAGAAAAGAGAGTGGAGTTTTGTGAATGGATGATTCAAAAATGTGTTGATATTCCTGATTTTCTAAAAATATTATTGTATACTGACGAGGCTTCATTCACTCGTGATAGCGTGTTCAATATGCACAATACGCATATTTGGAGTGATGAAAATCCTCACGCCATTAGGGAAACTGGGCATCAAAGAAAATTTTCAATAAATGTTTGGGCTGGCATAAATAGATCAGTATTTAATCGGGCCTTATGTTCTCCCGAACAGATTAAATGGGCCAGGATATCTCCACTTTTTAGAAGATAT